CCAAATTTTCTCCCCCGCGTGGAACGGCACAACAACCCCCTCACCTGCTCCGATCGTGTCCACCACAACTACTCCCGGATCCTTACTCAGCACAATGACCCCACCATCCTTGCTGTCCAAACCCTTCTCTGCGATCATGTAGAACGCTCTCCCGAAGTCACACGCGAATCCCTTTAGCATATCGACCTTCCCCGCTCTATCGAACGCACTAGCAACATACTGCACCGCATACGGCTGCGTAAAAACACCCGCCGCAGTTTTTCCAGTTGCGGTACCCACCTTTGCGGATTTAGGGTGCGGTGCGGAATCGGTTCCAAGGAAAAATTTCGGGTTTCCTGATGTAGCAGCTTCAACAAGTGCTGTACGATCTGAGGGAAGTTTTGCAACAGGCTTGCAGAAGCAGTGAGGGTTGTCGGCCCATTGATCAATAGTCAAGTACAGGTGATGAGCAGTGATAGTTGCTGCAACTGTAGGACCACATTTTTTGACGGCCTCAACTGCTGCAGCGGTAGTGCAGTGTTCAAGGACAATGCGGAGCTTGGGGAACTTTTCGTGGATGTCGAATAGGGTTGGAAGGAAAGTTTCTTCGGCATTGAGGACTGTAGTGGTCTCCGAGGATGGGGATTCGCCGTGGAGGTTGAGAACTAAGTCATGTTCTTCCATTGCGGCGAATACAGGATAATACTGTGTGTACGAGACAACACCGCTTTCGGAATTGGTAGTAAGTCCTTTGGGATATGATTTAACACCGAAAATCACATTTGTTTTGGCGGCTTCGGCAATGACAGCGGGGGTAATTTCGGGGGAGAGGTAGAGTGTCATCATGTAAGTCACGGAGCTATCGATAGCCTGAAGCCTCGAATGGTAGGATAAAGCTTGCTCGACCGTAGTAATCGGGGGAACGAGGTTTGGCTATGTATATAAAAAAAAATAAGAATATTGGCTTAAATTGAATATTGATAATTGCGTGATGAGCTGTGAATTACCATAACATAGACGAGAGAAACGCCACCCTTCTTAATAGTGGGTACAACGGTTTCCATCATACTGCCATCACGAAGATGGACGTGGAAGTCCGCAGCTGCGGGCAATTCGATTGAAGTCATGGTGATAGTTGATGTTTCGGGGGAATGGAAGGATCGAGTGGGTTGGGTTGGAGGATGGTTTCTGGAAAATCCTGAGATCCTTTGTTGAATGATTCAAAGATAATATGTTTACTGATGAATCAACCCGAGATGTTTCCACAAATTTTAAAGTTTCGAAACACTTGAATCCCCCCAGTGTGGGGAACTTTAGGCCTTGGCATGCAGGGTAACCTGGAGGCTCTTCTTGCCAACACAGGGGAATTAACAATCGGCCTAGGAACATCACCACCAGCTGTTCTACCCATTTTTCAAATCTAACTTGTGGCCAGGCATCTCCGTATTTTTCCCCGCGATATTTTTCTGTCAGGGCGCTTTGAATTGCGTTGTGTACAGCTAGTAAGCTACCTCGCCCCGCAATGGCTCTCGACTCTCTTCACAATCAGCCCGTCGTTATCGACAATGGATCAGGAACTGTCAAAGCTGGGTTTGCTGGAGAAGACCTACCGAAATGCTTCTTCCCTTCCTTTGTGGGACGACCAAAACATACCAGAGTGCTTGCAGGAGCATTGGAGGGCGATGTATTCATAGGATCTCGAGCACAGGAATTGCGTGGTTTGCTCAAGATCAAGTATCCGCTGGAGCATGGAATAGTTACGGATTGGGATGATATGGAAAGAATCTGGCAGTATATCTACAGCGAGGAGCTCAAAACACTATCGGAAGAGGTAAGCTTTATGGATTGATTTCATTATTTTTTTTATTTTTTTTTTTGCTGGAAATATTCTCTGGAGGTTTAGTAGTAACGAGCGGGGGGAAGCTAATTGGGTTATGGGTTAGCATCCAGTGCTTTTGACAGAAGCGCCACTGAATCCTAGAACGAATAGAGATACAGCTGCTCAAATATTTTTCGAAACCTTTAATGTGCCTGCTTTATTCACTTCTATACAAGCTGTTTTATCACTGTTTGCCGCCCGGTCCATTTGTTGATTACGTTTTACAACGCCAGTGGAATATCAATTTGCTAATCCCTGGTCACACTGGATATTCAGATACGCTTCCGGTCGAACAACGGGCATAGTTCTTGATTCAGGTGACGGTGTTTCCCATGCCGTCCCTGTATATGAGGGATTCGCAATGCCCTCAGCTATCCGCCGTATCGATGTAGCTGGTCGTGACGTGACCGAGCATCTGCAGGTCCTGCTACGAAAAGCTGGTGCTGTGTTCCACACATCTGCCGAGAAGGAGGTTGTTCGGCTGATGAAGGAAAAGGCCTGCTACATTGCCTCTGACCCAAAGAAGGAGGAGAAGGAGTGGGCAGGCGGCGGGTCAGGCAGAGTCGAGGAATATAGATTGCCGGATGGCCACGTTTTGCGGGTAAGGGACCCGTACACTATTGCATGAGTTAAAAGCTTGACGTTAACATCATATATGCGGATAGCTCGGTTCAGAGCGTTTCAGAGCTCCAGAGATACTGTTCGACCCAGAAATCATTGGCCTTGAGTACCCAGGGATTCACCAAATTGTAGTAGACGCCATTAATAGAACGGATATGGACTTGAGGAAGGATTTATTCGGTAACATTGTTTTGTCGGGGGGCTCCACCCTCACCAGAGGTACGTTTTTGGCTTGTACGAGGGTCGCCATTGCTGGCAGCCTCGTGGCAGAACCTATGGTGTTTATTAACTGCAAATTGTGTGCGCACTTTATGTTCACGCAGCTGACCGTGTCTTAAAAATGATTGTACAGGGTTTGGTGACCGACTTCTTGCGGAGGTGAAACGCCTGGCGGTCAAGGATATGAAAATTAAAATATTTGCGCCGCCAGAACGCAAGTACAGCACATGGATTGGAGGTTCAATTCTAGCGGGATTGAGCACGTTTAGAAAGGTCAGTCTTATGCCATTCTCACACAATTCTTTAATATACGCCATTCGGTTAGACGTGATCTCCGGCGGACGGTTGACTCTAACCGTTCTCTTACGTTTCATGTTGCAACTTCTGCATTTTTTTTACGTGTTGAAAATCTACTATCCCTGTGGCTTGGCATGTGGATCTTCTGTAGCAAACCACACTTGACACGTGTGGGGTACTACTATTTCCGCAACTACGATTCGTAGAGAACCTAGCATCACATCATCATCTGAATATATTAGGCTAACATACACCTTGGTGTACCTGTATTAGATGTGGGTGAGCATCGATGACTGGCATGAGAACCCGGAGATTATCCACACAAAATTTAGCTCTTAGCCCCGTGCAAGTAAAGGGCAGTCACTGCTGGCAATACACCTAGAAAGACGAGCCAAAGCCATCGTAATAGTTGTGCTGCTGCTGAGATGTCGTGCTTAGATTAGGGAATAACATCACATTCATAATGTGCATTTACAGGAGTTGTTTTTTACTGGTTTGTTCAAAGAGGAAGCCACATACCCTATTCTTTCTTCGTTCTATTAAATAATTGCGCGCTTTGGCCATATAATTGTTATTATGTACGTACATGTATGTACGACGATTAATTGCGGGGAAGGAGTTTAGGTAAAGAATTGACTCGCGTACTACCGAAATCTCCGAACCGGTGGGCTCTTGCCTTGCGTCTGTCTGTCTACCTAACTCCACGGATCACCGGCTGAAAACTGTGCATGCCTCTTTTTTTCCTTTGTTGTGTTTTTTTGATTTTTGTAGCCTAGGTCCTAGGACGCCTCGGATCCCCTTCCCCTGGCTTTGTTACTATTTTTCGGCTGGGTGCCAATCTCACCCAATCAACCAAAAGCAAGGGGATCAGCTCCAGCCCAAACTTACCAATCATCGTGAACATCGTGAGAATGCTGTTTTGTTTACTTTTGTTTGTTGCGGTTACTGCTTCCGTTTGAGATCACGAGATTCGGTGTTTCGGGTCTGGCTACCCGCCCAACCAATCCGGTCTATGGTGGCTTTCTTTGTATATTTCTTCGTTATTCGCTATCATAGTACATGGTCAATCATCATCCATCATCATCATCAGCAATGTCATTGTGGCCATAATTCATCATCAGGTTACTCAGCGTCATACTAAAATATGATGACGGGTTGAATTTTAACAAGTTTACTCTGGGTTCTTATATAACGCCTCCTTGGATGGGTATGGCGGATGGAATGGTATGGATAGACGCGGAATGTCAAAAGATGCGGTCTGGATTGATGGATCTTCAGGTGCCAATTGCAAAGTGTTGAATCATGAGAATGAGTTGCGGGTATGTATGAGTCTTTGAGATTCAAAAGCCGAGTATAACCATAATGTAGTTACAAACTCTCCCGCCACCTAATTATATTGTACAGGCTAGCTAAGTAACTAGTAGTAAACTGAGTAGAAAATTCGTTGTTGAAAAATAAAAAAAAAACGCTTAAACACCACCAGTCTGATAGTAGACAAAAGAAAAAATAAGCAAGTCCCGTTGTTCCATATTCCAAAGTCCCAAGATTTCCCAGATATCCATATTCCCAAACTTTTTTTTCCCACAGGTTTTTTTTTCTCTTTTAAGAAGGTTGAGGGTGTGCGTACGGGAGAGAGGGGGAAGATGCCACTTCCGCCCCTCTGCCCGCTAAACAAAAAATCAAAAACACAAAAGTACAGTTTGTTGAAAAAATACATAAAAAGAAGAAAAAAAGTATAGACGCCACAAAGATTCAAATCGACGATTTCCAAAAACAATCCCCGCCTGCAAAAGAAATAAATATCAAGTAAAGCAAATATTATCCCGTCCAAGTTTTATCGGAGAAAGAAGAAGGTAAAAGCGGGTATATACAAGCTTTTTTTTGCTTCTTTTTCTGACCGACTGACTAGGCTATTGAATTATTCGCCGACCGACCGACCGAGGTTGAACTCCAGAGACCAAAAAAAAGATGTAGGAAAGAACACAATGTTGAAATTGGATTGGATCTATGATCTAGAGTTGACGCGAGTCAAAGTGTCCCACACCTTGTCGGCTCCTGACCTTATGCTTGAGGTTGAGAAGCGGGGAGCTGATCTGATTGAGCAGGTGGAGCTAGTTGAGCTTCGTGGTGAGTCTGGCTCAGTTGAAACAGTGTTACTGTGGGCAGGAACGACGTTTCCGGCACCTCCACGGCCAATGGAGTAGACTGGGGCGTGGTGCTGGTGGAACAATCGATCACGCTCAAGCTCTTCGTCAAAGGAAAACATTGCTCGCTCGGTCTTGGGCTTGATGTTTCCGGCACCACCGCGGCCTCCAAAGAAAACTTGGGTGTGAGTGGTAGTGGCAGGTGTAGTAGTGGGGATAGTAGTTGCTGGGGGAGTGGAGCTAAAGAAGCTGCTGGTAAGACGGCGGTAGTTGCCTGCACCGCCGCGGCCGGCGTGGTAGTAAGCACCGCTGTCGTGGACTGGAGAACCCTCGGTGATTTGGATGGTCATTTTGCTGGTTTGGAGAGTTGTGATGTTTGGTGATGGGTATTTAGGTATGGTAGTAAGGTAGAAGCTAATTGATTTCAAGTTCGAGAGCTGTTTATATTGATGGTATTGAGGAAGGATGTGAGGATGCTATATATATTTCGACTGGAGGGGGTTGCTGTTATATATACGATATGAGTATATTTATTTGTTGGAAGCTGTGAGTGAATAAGACACCGAAGATGTAATAGCTGTGTACTGTTGTGTGTGTGGATGAAGAAGTCAATTCTAGTGGGAAGCCAAAGAGGCTTTATATTCCAGGAAAATAAATCAGTGCCCTGAAGATCGTGGGACTCATTGTGGTATGCTAAGGGCAAATAATAACTTTGCGTCCGCGTCCACCCTTGGCTGACTGACTGACTCGTAACACCACTCAACAACACCTTACCAGTCCACCACCATCCATCAAAGCAGGCCCAGTCCGTCACGAGGGGCTGCTACCGCACTTGGACCACCATGACCTAATTTCACCATTGAGATTTGTTATTGCGCATACCATGCCTACTCTATGTGATCCAGTACATACACCATCCCATCAATCCATGCCATGGCCACCACTACAACCAACTCCTGGTCATGGTTCATCAACCGGACGCAGGAGGCCGGCGGTCTGCTATCCAGTGGAGTGGGCCAGCCTTGGTGGCCACCAACTGAGTGACTACTTACGAGTACCTACTGTACCGGTATGTGCTCTCTAGTGCTACTGCAACTGCAACTGCAGGTCAATGTTCAAACATCCACTGCACCACTGCACTTTGAAAGAGCCGAGTGTGAAAAAAAAAAACGATTTACATCCACTAACGCAACGCCTTCTGCCGCTGGTTCGGTTAGGGCTGCGGATAGGGGATGAGCACAGGGCTCCCTTCGCGGTTATATTGCTTCTTTCTGCAAAGGGAGGAGGGAGAAAAAAATATCATCGTGAGAAATGATGACGAGTGAAATTTTTTTTAGGTGAAGGTGAGGTGCCATGCCATGCCAACCGTTGCAGTAGGCTCTATTCCTGTTCCAGGCGCTTTCATTACGAGAAGAAAACTGCGCAACCAACCAAATATGGTCATGGAGGGGTTTCCAGGCGAAGCCTCCTTCCCGTAAATGGGCATGGCTGTTAGGTAATTGTGGAGCACGGGCTGGCCATCTGACCTTTGTTGGTTGCAAGGGAAGGTAGGAAAAATGGAAGTGACTTCAAACGAGCAGGCATGCTTGTCCACCATGGCCCAGGTGTGTGGGTGCTGTCAAAGAATTATTTCTTTCTTCTACTTTGGTTGCGCAAGAATACGTTATTCCCGCAGGTCAGACCCAAAATCCAAGTGTGGCGCGTCCTGCTTCAAAAAATTGAATCGAGGCTGGAGGAAATTGATCAGAGGACATTTCTTCTTGTGTCGTCCCCAACTCGATCTGATCTCCCTAGAGACGTCATCAAACGCACGAAACCCTACCTAAATGACTGACCTGAGCTCCAAGGACGCCGTGCCTAGGCAGACAGACAGAAATGAAAGAAAAGAACATTTCAAAGAAAAAGAAACACATAAGCGATGAGGAAATTTTTTTCCATGCGTTCTAAACAAGGCATCTAACTTCTTCTTTCTAACAATAGTTCATTGATCCCCACAAAACCGTCCCAGCCCAGAGCTCAGTCCACCTGGATAGGTACATACATGTGGGTATGTGGGTAGGTTGAAGCAAGCTCGCCGCCTCGCCGCTGGGCGTTGACCCCAAGCTGCAGGTACATCCCCAAGATCTCGCCATTCCAATTCTAATTCACAACAGACACATGTGCACTAGAACATAGCCGGCATAAATCATTATTTTGAACCTGAATCCCTGGTTCTTCCCCGCAATACTTTGCAACTGAGAACTCCCTCGTGGCTTTTCGAGACCGCACATGCTGCTCTTTGTCCTCTAGGGGTAGCCCAACGCGAAGAACACCGGTAGAAGTGGCGTCTGTGCGAGTTGCTTGGAACGGTTGGCCGAGAATGCCGAGAATAGCCCCCTTCGATCGTATCGGTGAAATGGACAGCTTGAGGAAGCTCGGTGTTTGGATTGCGTGCAAAGGCCGACGGGCCCCTGGTTACATGATGCGCTCTTCTCTCTCGGGCAGATCACTTGACACTGCAAATCTCAAACTCCCATAACCAAGGCACCGTGCGTGCGGCGTAAGGGAGTGAAATCTGGGGGAGACCTTCTGCTTCAGAATCTGATGCAGGTGAGGAAAAAATCTGAACCAAACCTGGGAAGGCGAAACTGCAACATAAAAAGCAATTCACAACGTTCCAAGACCGGGCTGGCGTCATATAAGCGTCAATCCTTTCTTGTCTTAAATTTAGGGGTTAGGGGCATTCGGCCTCTAGCTAGTACTGGTACTTCACAGGAAAACAACAAGAAAATTGCCTTAGCAACTGGTACTGCGTGACCGCCCTTTTTTTTTTTTCCTTTTCAAAAAGCAAATAAAAATCATTCTCTGATCGAAAGCACCTTCTCGGCATCGTGAAAAGTGAGAAGAGTGGAAAGAGTGGAAGCTGGACCATGGTTATGCCTTGGCACCTGGAAGAAATTTTCTCGCCCACAACACTCCAGCTAACAACGTCCCAACGCAAATGTAACTCCGAGTCAGCACACCGTAACGAGCATCGTGAGATTTGCACAGGGCCATATGACGTTTGAGACTTGTCATGAGGTACCTTTGCGAATTGTTTAAGCGGACAAGAGTAAAAAAGTTCACTTACCAAGCACAACAAGCAAATATCTGAACACGCCCCCTCTCTTGTTTGAAGAGCCTAACAAGAAGGCCCAAAGCCATAAGGACTGTGGCAAAGGTTTTCCATCTCTTCCAAATTTCACGGCTGGGTGAGCCACAAATCTTTTGTAAGCCGCAAGCTTCTTTGGCGTGTAGGGTGGGTAACGAATCTATTAAGACAAAAAAAAGAATCAACACCAAAATATTAGTTCGTTATTCCATCGTTCCCTCGATGAGTCTAGAAAGTGCACAACACAACGGTACTGAAAAAGGAAGCCGCATTCAAGCGAGTGTTTATGGCCAAAAGAAGCAAAATGACCACATACTGCCGGTAAATGTCCCATCGTGACATTCGCACGCGAGCGTCCTCTGAAAGCATGGGAGGAGAAATGTGTTTTTTGGAAAAGGGGAAAAAGCAACGCGGACCAAACTTACGCTGAGCTGCCCCTCAACCCATAGTGGCTGACTGAGGATCGGTCGTCTGTGTACGAATGAATCAAAAGTATCACGGCCTAGAAGCACCCCAGATTATTTAGCACGAAAGTAAGGCTTGCATACCCGCTAGCTGGTATTTCCCCGCAAAAGTAAATAATGCTCGCCAGTGCTCCTCTGTTCGTCCATACAAGGGAAAGGGAGTCGAAGGGGGAGACCACGAGACCGTCGCCAAGGATCGTGACAACGAAACACCAGCTCAACTCACCTCTGTACTTTCCATGTCCGGATTCACCAACCCCGCCGAAGGGAATGTAGCTGTTTGAGGCATGAAGAATCACACTGCGTTTCATTTATTGTCAGCAATTCGAACATTGCTTGCAGAGGGTTCCAAGCGCATCACTAATTCACGAAAGCAACAGCTCCACAAGAATACAGCTCTATAGGCAGAGAGCTAATGCGAAGGTTGAAGACTTGGTCATGCTCCACTTCAACGACTGGGAAACGCAAGGGGCTGTGAAACTTACTCATTAATGGAGACACCCCCAGACCTCACACTCTTGAGAACTGCAGCCGCGGTTATTCATCATGTTGACAAAGAGAAGCTCGCCGTTGGCGAGCATAAAGTAGCCGCCGGCCAAAACTGAGGCGGGCCGACCGAGGTGTGCGAGGATGGACTTACTCTTTTCTTGCTCCAACTTATCCGCAGAGAAGACGTACATCGCCAGCGGCGTATCCCCCAGCCTCTTCGCCAATAACACCATCTCATCGACTTTTTCTACAACCATCGTAGGAATCACAGGGCCGAAAATTTCTTCGCTCAACAAACTATCACTCGAATTTGTCACTTTCACAAGTGTTGGTTCGATGAACCTTGTTGACTCGTCGACACTTCCGCCACACAAGACTGCTCCACCGCTGTTGTCCAACAGCTTCTTAATGCGGTTGAAGTTTCTATCATTGACAATTTTGCCGTAATCCGGGGAGGCCTGCGCACCATTCGGGAGGTATATTTCGAGTGCATTTTTGAAACTTTCGACAAATTCGCGCTCGAGGCTAGGGTGTATGAGAACGTAATCAGGTCCTAGACAGATTTGGCCGGCATTGTGGACCTTCCCCCAGGCGATCCTTTTGGCAGCAGTTTTTACATCGGCAGATTTGGTGACGAACACGGGGTTTAAGCCGCCTCTGCAGGTGGATTGTCAGCGAAATTTTCTGTAATACGGTGCGATCAACCATAGTAAGGCCAATGGCTATAGCATGACACCATTAACCCCAGCGAGATGCCGGGGGTGCAGCTAATGGTACTTTGGAGTTGATGAGAAGCAGAATATCGCTCGGCCAAGCCTTTTCAAGCTCTTCCGGGCTCCATCAAGCTGTGTCAAGCTCCATCAAGGTTCCAAAGGCGAGCTTCTCTGAGCTTCTTCAGAGCATTGAGTTGCAGCTCATATCCCCAAGTACCTGAGCAGCTTGCTGCTCGTAGGTGATGGGTACGAGACTACCAAGTACCCCACTCTTGAAAGGGCATCGCTTTTCAAAGGACTTCATTTAGGACAGGAAAACCTACAGTTCCAATATACAAGGCGTCAAATGCTTTGCTGCCGCAGCCGCAACAATTTTCCCCACATAAGTGCTTCCCGTGTAGACAATCTTATCAAATTTCAGCTCCAGGAGCTTCGTCGTCACATCGATCCCGCCATTGATGACCGCGTAAAAGTCATTGTCCAGAACATCCTCGACGATTTTCGCAATAAGTGCAGAAGATCTTGGAGTCAGCTCACTGGGTTTCACAACGGCTGCGTTACCTCCGGCTATCGCTCCCACCAGCGGACTGATGGTCAATTGAACGGGGAAGTTTGAAGCTCTGGAGGACCGGAAGTATGCAAGTTAGTTCATGATCAGGTCCTGTTATGTAATTCATCGGTAGGTCAAATTTGTTTCAACACTCGAGAGTGATGACAATTTGTGCTGTCCCACACACCCTTACTTCCTTGATATAGCCGGTGCTCAATGCGGCAAAGGAATACCTAATATTCGGGGGAGAAAACGAGAGAAAATACAGCGTTTCCCTGTGAGGCGAGCATTCACCTACTCGTGCGGCCTTGTTATGGCCTCCGGGCTGCATGCAATTAATGAATTTCAATCAATCAATTAACTTATTGAAATAATCAATCAATCAATCAATCGGTCAGTTGATCAATCAATCGATCAATCAATTAATACTCGCGCGGCCGGTTTGAAGCTACCCAAAGAACTATGGCGAGTAATACCATAGGTAGGCCGATATAGCACACGATGAAGGCCAAAGACCATCCAACAGTGCAAGTGATTTGGCAGCCAATAACTCACATTGTTGCAGTCTTTATATCAATTACCTTTTTGTCTGAGCGGCTTCAATCCGGCAGCGCGAGTACAAATATTCCTTGACTGCAGGTTTGGTGCCAGATTTTAAGTGATGGAGGTCCTCTCTGCTCGGTATCCTGCGTGCTCACGACGCAGGGAAACGCTGTAATTGAAGAAAGAGAAAAAAAAAAGACCAAAAAAAGAATAGGCCCCTACCCAATAATTAAAATTGTTCCCATAGGATCTTTCCTCATGACTGGTTTGTTGACAAGCTTGGTAGTCCATGGCACGTCGGTGATAGGCTCATCCGCCGCCCAGGTCTTAAGGTTCTCCATAACGTTCACGATGTCGCTCAACGGCCACGCGAACTCGGTCATGAATGTCTCAAAAACCGGCTTCCCGATGTCGGCTGCCAACGCATCATAGAGTGCCTGCTCATTGTCTCGGAGACCCCAGTAGAGGCGGCCGAGCTGCTCAAGGCGGAAAGAGAGCGGGTGAGACTTGAGGGTGCCGAAGGCCGCGTCGAGGCGGGTGACCGTTGACGCGATCGAGTCCACAGGGGTTGGGGTGAAGGAGGCCATAATCGCGCGGGTGCTCGGAAATGTGGTTTGGGATTTGTTGTTGAGAGGAGAGATGTAGATGTAATTAGGTTATTCAGAACTTAGAGGTCTGGGATGATAGGATACGTTGAAGACAACTTGGGATCTACGGTCGGATTGCCGACCTCACACAGAGGCTAAAGGCTAGGTGAAAATCACACGGGACAAACCGAGGCCGACAGCTCGTTCGCTCTCGCTTCTTTCCCCACAGATCAGTTCTGTTTCAGGGTCTTCAGGGCGCGATTTCAGTCTGGAAACGAATGTTTTCACATGTTGTGATGAGGACAGGTTAGCCATATACGGCTAGCCTACGCCACACTGCAACGGCGGGACCGAGGCAAACCAGCTTTTATGGAGGATCTGCGACGGTTTCTCCCTGTCGTGCCACACCAGAACTCTGGCCAATCAGGAGAGAACAGCCTGCAGGAATCCCAAGGACTCGGTTTGGGGCCGTCTCGGGAGCTTGTGGTAGGCTGAAGATGGGTTCCGATTCGATCCGAATTTCGGGATCTCCTTTGCTTCCCGTTTGCTGGAGAAGCTTAAATGTGCCTGGATCAGGTTACTGGATTTGTCTGCACGGCGGGAGGGAGGGAAGTTTAAATCTGGGGGGCGTGGTTGCTTGCGGGGAGGGAAGGCTGGCTTTGGGCGAGACATAGTCAGGGCATAGTGCGTTTGGGCTCACGACTTGGGCTGGAGTACGATACACCACGAGTGCGGTATGATTACACAGCGCTTTTTAGGTTTATTGCAAGACTCTTTAGGTTTCGTGCACCCGGTTGGGGAAATTTGACTGGTTTGCGATACAAGTATTTGGGGAGCGGTAAAAACAGGCCAGAATTCGAAACATATCCCGAACTCCTTTGAAATTTCCGAATCACCTTGAATTTCCGTGTATTTGGCACACCCGACAGCCTGCGGCGGGTTGCCGTAGGACCGCGGGCAGGCGAGAAATCAAAAAAGAAAGAAATAGGCCTGCGAGCTTGATATTGTGACCCTTTGACGCGATAAATCGGCGATCTTTCTAACGCAGCTGAGTTGACCGCGCCTCGGAGGCTCGAGATCGGGTGTAGAGTAGGGTAGGTGCGGGGTCAATGATCTGTCAATGTCTTATGCGGGATACCAAGGTTCGGGCCCGCAGAATCTCAGTCGCGGCTGTCTCCCGAGGAACGGAGCACGCGAGGCCTAAACCACTCAGCCCAAGGAACTAACATATGCAGCGGCCGAGGACGGCAAGTTACGCAGGAATCGCCGGCAGGATCCATCTGATGTGTGTGTGTGGTAGAGTATATGTCTGAAACAGATCTTTTGCACTTGTTACGAAAGAACTTCACTACCTAGGTAGTTGCGTGCGCACATTGTACCCTATCACAACGACTGACTCGGATGCCTATTATAGAAGTTTCCTTCGCCGGTGCGGAAAGTGGTCCCCGAAATTAGAACGAGGGCTCTCCTTGCGTCGGTTTTGTAATGGTAATGGGACGGATGGGTACATACGAGCTCGGGGCATTTTCAAGATTGTATGAGTCAAACATTGACTCTGGCTAACGAATCGGAGTGGTGCAATTGTTGTCTGGGCAAGGCGTAAGTATTCCTTACAAATCGATATCTGAATTGTCAATGATAATAAAAGCCGACAAATCATTTTAGGGTCACATCAAAAACCATTACACCATTACACCATAGGAACATTGGTTATTTATTAACCAAAGTGTCAAAAGCTGGACCAGAAACAAATATACAGCAATGTTTCTCCATAATACCGCATGCCGCATGCCGCACTCTGGTCCTCTACTCTACCGAGCAGCAAGGAGTTAGAGATACAGGTCCGATCGCATCACGGTGGTTCACAGAAGTCAGATTTTGAAGTGGTTTTGTGATCACAGCGATAGAAATTCTAAGACAAAGAAAGCACTGGTGACGACGCTGTCTGACCCTTACTTCCCGCTGCCAGTGCAGGTATATTGAGCTGTACAGCGACCGATCATACGATAGGCTAACAGTGGCACATACATGTAGTTATCGTGCTTCACTCTGGGGGGTTGAGACCGTCTGAGCGCTCAGTTGTTTCCAGTATAATTTTCTAGCACCTTGGGGGATTCGCCGATCTTTCGAGGTACATGTTTTTGTGTGGCAGATTCATACTAATCAAAGTATCGACCTCCCCGAGAAACATGTAACACCGGAAGAGCATGATATGGATGATGGATTTCATTGAAGCTCAGATGAAAAACCTCACCTCCGGTACACATCAAACCAATGATGGGACGGAAACAAAACCGTTCATACGTCCAGAAGCTGTCTATGGGTGGTACGATAGCCTTGCTTTTGGGTTTCCGGTCCGGTCTGCATGCACTCAGTAGCCCGGAATCCGGATTGATGGGAATCGTAGATGTAAGTCGGCGACAGTTTGATCAGATGAGTTGCGCAAACCAGTCTGTCACTGACGTGGAGCGTAGTAGCGGGTTCGACGGATTCGATCGATGGATGATGTGCTGCATGTTCATGGGTTATCACTCGTTGTGGTCGCCGGTCGGTATGGGCGGGTGTCGGCGGGTGCCAATGATTGGGGCATTCTAACTGGGCTTCTGTCTCTGGACGCAGTGTCCCCAACCCACGTAGATTACTGGGAATTCAGAGGGTCGCCGGTTTCTGGGATCCTTTCGGTTTGGCGTTCTGTTAAACTTGTGGGCAGATGAAAACCAGTTTATCCCAGAACCAGATTATACCAGCGCATGCCACATGCACCGGTAGTTCGAGGCTTTGCGGGTCCGGTGTTTGCACCGGACGGTCGCAGCGGCAGCGGTCTCTGGCTACCAAGCCCGGGCCCGGTGCCCATATCGTAGCCACTCTTAGAACGGCACCGGTCTGCAGTTACCCGGTCGGCCGCCGAATCAATTGCAAGAGCGTCAATTCGGCCGCACGATGCCTTCTCCCGGTCGGTAGATTGCTTGGTACGCTGGCTGGTTTGATTCCCAGATAGCTATAGTCGTTATCTAAATTTGGGTGGAACCCGCTAAATCGTCTCGATGGCGGACGTATGGAGGATTGCTAGGATCCGGCGCCGCACTCGCTTGGCCGGCGGCCTAGTGCAATTCGACATCAATTCGATCGGCCATATGTGCGCTGTAGAAACTAAGGCTAAAGAAGCACCCAAACTTCTCAGATTTTCGCCCGGAAGGACATGAGTCACAGACCCACAGGGATATGCAGTTTGCGGCATTCAAAGACCAATTCACCATCAGGGCTAGGGTTTTTCGGCACCGCGATACCCCGGACAGACTCCAATTAATTTCCCCCACAAGATTGAAATCTCGCCGTGGGCCTGCAAATACCAAGGGGGGCCAAAGGACATGTTCTAGAATTTACAACGAAGGCAATCGCACGCCGTGAGTGAAGGAAGCCGGTATATTGAAGTGGGTTAGGGTTCGTGGGCTTTCGTCAAATCTTGTGGGAGACAGGGGATCCTTGTAGCGGTGATGGGGCATCACGTAATAGGAATTAGGATCGTTGGTCCTTTTGGGCTTGGGAAGGGGATTCAGGGGATTGAAGTGACCATGGTGGATGTGGACTAAGGTTTTAGGTGGGGATTTGATTCGTTGGCTGGCTGGATTTGGGTGGATACTGAACAGCTGGCAGAGTGGATTCTGGAGGGGGAGTGGGTTTGGGTTTTGGGCCCTTGAGTAAGATGAAAGGGGTGAGGAGGTATATTCGGATCTGGATCTGGATCTGGGCGTTGGTTTGTTTTGTGAGTATGGTTAGTAGGTGGGGCTTGCTGTTAGTGAAGGGGAAAGGTCAGGGTTAGGGGTGGGCTATTGGGTTCTCTACGAGTCTATGGTGATCGAATTATTATATGGGGATTAGGTACGTATCCTCTTTATCCTAATCTAACAGCTTTGGGGGGCGAAATTTTATAAAATAGGTTTCCGCCGGACATAAGATGAAATAACTCAAGCAACGCCGTCTCGTTGGGTTCCGTCTAGATAGTTTTCTGTTCGTATATACAAATCCTGAAAATTCAAAAAATGAATTTAAACCAATTACTCCGGGAAAAATCTCTATCAGTAGTTGTCTTTGGGGCCATGGTTGACATGCTTGGTATATCTGTCTTGAGGTAGATATTTATTGGGGGTTAGAGTTGTTCACTCGTTAATTGACTGTTGATCATTACCATGAATGGGCAGCCAGGCATCAGATAACCGTTATCTCTTGATACCGCCTAAGGCTGTAGTCCGACACTCACTGGTGCCTGGCTCTGTTTATCCCTTTGTCTGTCAATGCTGCCACCCTATAATAGAGGAATTAAATTTATACAGGAGATCTGTTATTTGATAAGAGAGATAACGAGATCTGTTAGGAAAGCCACACCAGATTTGCTTTTTCTTGGGGTGGCAGCATTTAACTGACACGAAGGGGCAAGGGGAATTGCATATTTTAGGCTGGGGGATATATATAGAATCTCGAAACTCAAAGAGAGTTTCTGTATGTATCGTCGACCCCACCTCCCCGACTCACCTTGAACAATATCCCCATTCACGAGACCTACATAGTAGTAAATTCCACCACACAGACCAAATAGAAAACCATAAAACTGGTAACCTAGCATATATCTAGGGTTAGGATTCAATACCACATGCTCTAATGCCTGATCACTATTGGCCCTACAGTGTCGACGAGTTAGAAGCCAATTAGGGCAGAAGCAGATAGCACGTTCTTAACTATATGCTGGCCTGTACGCACCCGCGATAAGTGAAGATTCTGGCGATCGAAAGGGGATTGGTTGGGCTTTCGGTTGGGCTTTCAGGTTTCTGGTTGGGCTTTAATTATAACAGCCAGGAGAACGTCGGAGGAAGGCATTTAGCCCACACAGCCTTCAGTCTACCGAGAATTATCAGTCTACCGAGAATTAAGATAGCGAAGTGCTCGGTACTAACCTAGAGGCATGGATACTACCTAGTCGGTGAGGGGCCAATCAGGGTGGGGTAAGTTATCCTCTAGGGTTAGGGTTTGGATCAATCATTGGCCTCCAATGGCGATGTCGAGATATACATAGGCCGTCGACGCGCTATATGGGTGCGAGTAAGACTGGAGGAAAGGGCTTGACGCGAGGTTTTATCTAGCCAGATAGTTGGGTTGGATTAGGTGTGGCTATATTATATAGTGTTAAAGATATCATTGCCCGCCGAATATTGCCAAGCTTATGATTGCTTAGGATGGGGCTTGGCCAATGATACTGAAATAATGACTGTGAGTTCAAGTCTTTTCTTGTGAAGAAACTGTTCCTATTTCTTTAACGAATAATTTTAACTTCTGCATTTAGAGACACACATATGACAATGCAGATTGTGTCAGCATACATACACTGACATAATAAGGAGCACTGCAAGGCAGATCAGGGACCGAACTACATAGTAGTACATATCACCAACGCGGGTACTAGCCGAAACACCAGGGAGATCTATTATTGCGGCTCCAGACCATGGCACGAGTGACAACCCATGACACAATTCACGTGACCACAGCCAATCTTTCCCTAAAGCACACAACTCACGGGCAAACAACGCGCCGAGTCCTACATTATACCTGCACGAAAGGATGAATTCCCCCCCGAGAGACATAGCGTATCCCGTCTCCGTGCCCCCTGATCGCAGTCCGGTGGATATGTATCTAATCTGTTCCGTCAGACGAGTGATCGATCATGACGCTGTTACTAATCCTACCCGTCCGGAATTCCGTGGGTACTAAGGCTTGGCGTTAAGGGCTAAACCAGATTTGGGGACTGCACAGGGGGGAGTTCTCTGGTGGGAACGTTCTTGTGGAACGTATGGTAAATAGAGGTTGTATAGCCACTGATGAACGTGGAGTTACGAGCTCGGATTTAGTACTCGGGGTTATTTAGAGAAGAGAAGAGAATGTTCTAAGGGTTCATTTATAATTAGCAGGGAGGGGAAAAGTATAAAAAAGGGCCAGATATCTGGTGAAGGGACTTAATATCGAACACACTCAGACTCAATTACTATACTACTATCAGATTACTACTCTACTACTTCTTGTCAGCTTTATTCCAATATCATTACAATGGCACCAACACAGCTTCCCACCCGTCCTCTAGGAAAGAATGGTCCTCAAGTCTCCGCAATCGGTTTGGGCCTCATGGTTCGTAAACGGATAATTCGCAGTGTATGCTAGCATTGTTGCTGATACTGGCTTTAAAACATAGGGTCTCTCCATTGCCTACGGAGCGGTCGATAGCGACGAAGAGCGCCTCAAATTCCTTGACTATGCCCACGAGCAGGGCGAGACCTTCTGGGACACCTCAGACATCTACGGCGACAACGAAGTTCTCATCGGTAAATGGTTCGCAACTCGCCCCGGAAAGCGCGACGACATCTTTCTCGCCACAAAATTCGGTGTATGTCACTCTCCTCTGTACCCAATCTCTGTACCCTTACTTATATTGCCGATGGCATGTATAGATCAAAGTGGACCCAGCAACATACGCCATGTCCGCCGTTGGAACGCCCGAATACGTCCACTCGGCCTTCAACGCCTCGCTGTCGAAGCTCGGCGTATCCTCAGTAGACCTCTACTATGTTCACCGCATCGACGCCTCAACCCCTATCGAGCACACTGTTGGCGCAATGGCAGAGCTCGTCGCAGCCGGAAAAATAAAATACCTCGGCCTGTCCGAGTGCTCCGCTGACACACTCCGCCGCGCATACGCTGTGCACCCTATCGCATGCGTGCAGGTCGAGTACAGCCCCTTCGCGCTCGATATTGAGAAGCCAGACGTGGACCTCCTACGGACGTGCCGTGAGCTCGGCGTATCAGTTGTGTGCTATAGCCCGCTAGGGAGAGGTATGATGACGGGGCAAATCAGGAGTAGGGACCAGTTCGAGCCGACAGACTGCAGGCAGTTCTACCCAAGATTCAGCGAGGAGAACTTTGGCAAGAATCTGGAGCTGGTGGATAAGGTGAATGAGATTGCGGTGAAGAAGGGGATCACTCCGGGGCAGGCCACTTTGGCATGGATCTTGGCGCAGGGGATCGACTTTATTCCGTTGCCAGGGTAGGTTCTGGAGGTCATTTGAGTTTGTTTTATCCGTTGGCTAATATGGGAATAGAACCAAGAAGGCGAAATATCTCAAGGAGAATATCGATGCCATTAGTGTACAGTTGACACCCGAGGAGGTCGCAAAGATCAGGGAGTACTGCGAGAACTGTGAGCCCGCTGGTGAAAGAGCAGCTGCAATAATGAACAACATGGACTATGGCGACTCAGCCCCGTTGAAGTAGAGATATAAAAGTGATTGGTGGAGGGTAGTTATCGAGTCCATGTATCTAGGGTAGATAGTGAAACCTACTTGGTCGATAAGGCCTGTGACATATGTTGAGATAGTTAGGTTTATTGTTCAATAAATATTGGAGTCAATAGATGTAGCTCTAGATCCAAGGGCCTGACAGAGCGAAGTGTCAACAAGCCGTTCAAACGGCTCTTTGAACACGGTTTCGTTGCCAGTTGAAAAGCTAGATTCCAGCAATATATATGTGAAGGCTGTGTCTGAGCAATCTGTCGTGACTGAAGAGTGGAATAGATATCTATTCACTGCCAATAGTGCCCAGTTTATTATATAAAGTCACCAGAGCATACCGTCTTTCTTCTAATTCTTTAAATCTCAAAGTTAGAGAGAGATGAAAAGGCTTGTTGGAGTCAGTCTATCAGATTTTAACTCACATATATGTAGCGATCAAAGAAGTTCATAGATGTTAGGCTGGGAAGATCGAGGTAGTCACGGTTCGTTAGGACTACATCTACTTGTAGTAAAATGTATTATTCACAATTTGAACTATGTGTTACTTAAGTGCTTTAGGTTTATTAACTCTGCCGAAAACTGTGTCATGGTCTTTTCCGTATTTTAAAAGTCGGTAACAGTCCTGAAACTCTATAACAACCACTCAGGGGTAATTCTCAAAAATGGAGGACCCGACCCATCATACCCGATACGACACCGGCACACCCAAACAACGGCGAACTCATTGTCTATAAAGAGAGGACTTCTTTTCATAGTTTGTAGGATACAAGCGGCCCATATGCATTTCTCGCAAAGTTACAAAAAGATCCACCAGTCCAACGACAGCCGCTTCAAGCACCATACGCCTTCAAAGCCTCCAAATCAGAATTTAGATACAAAAGGAATGACAATAATAATTACCTAACTATTGATATGCGGTACTCAAGGACTCTCGCTCTTACTTTTTCTGACCGGCCTCTACCGTGACAGTAGCACTAGAGATGGATGCCAGGTCTCGGGGAGTTGGTGTCCCAAGTACGCCGCGGTAGGAGGCGATGTCCTCCTTGGGAATACGTTCGGAGATGTCGATGAGAATGCATGTGTCGAAGACGTTGCCATTGATATTGACTGTAATAAAGCTGGTGGACGTGGTTGGTATTTGCGGCCTGGAGAATGAGTCATGTCAGGACATACCTGGAAACATGTATGCTGGTACCCGTTGGATGACTTAACCGTGGATTCATACGGGCACGAGCGGCATGTGTCTGACGTTGAAAAGACAAATACACTTATCATGGAGTCTTGATCGTCTGGTCTTGCTGCGGGTGGACGGCATAATAACACAACCTATTACTCCATGACCGAGTGAGAACCCGTGATTAGATCAATAAGCTTTCCGCCTCTGGTGCCTCAACGCCGAATGGGGCGGTGTTTTTCGAGACAGTTCGCATAGAAGACTGTTATTAGCCATCTCCGTCCAGGGATTATCTCTCGGGTGATTGCTTGAATGGCAACAATATACATCAGACGTTTCCCACGTACGGAAATAATTTTGATCACACAGGAGCTAGCTAGCCAATTTTCCAGGTTTTGGCGGTACTTTCACGCCTACTTTTATGCATTATACATACATGTACTCATGTAAGTACTTGTCCAAGCTCTCTAGTGGAAGGCACTCGGGAGACCTGGTTAAGCCGGTCAGCAGTAACACTACACCGCTTCGATTCTCATTGTTGTGGGCACGCATGACGGAGGTGATAATCAGATAAGGCTGGACACTAGCTAGTCTACTATTTAGATAGCAGGGGTATTGGGAGGTTTAATCCCGATTGGGATGATAGTAGTAATTCATTTCATGTGGGGCTAGTAAGTAACTATATGTAATCAAAAGAGATGAATGTGCATTATAGGCAACCTAACATTATAATAGGTTATCTTAATATTGGGTCAATGATCATCATTTCAGACGGAAGCATGGAATCTATTGATTACTGCTCTACAAGCCAATGATTGGCCAGATGGGGCTAAACAGCCAGATAGAGGTCTTCACAAACTTCAAACTTCACCCTTCTCCCGCAACAGCAGCCCTTCTATCCCTCTCCACAAACCCCCCTTCTAGCACCTCAATCAGCTCGTCCAACCTATGCACCCACGTCAGCGCCTCCACCCATCACCTCCACACACCACAGGGCAAAACCTACCTATCAACCACACAGTCCGTCATCTCGCTCTCCGCCAGCTCCCCATTCACATTATTCCTCAGCAACACCGTCGCCGCGCCCGCCCTCCTTCCCGCTGCCATATCGTCCATGCTGTCCCCTACCATGATCAAGCTACTCCCGCCATCCTGCAGCCCCCACTGCTCCGCAATGTGCAGGATCCCCGCTGGGTCTGGCTTGGGCGGCCGGAACTCCCGTGTCACGATGGGCGAGAAGAGTTGGCCTTGGCAGAAGTTGGTGATCAGGAAATTGACTGGCGTGCTGTACCCAACCCACTTTTATCAGCCCAACCAGATCACCTAGAATGAGGGAGGGGGAGAATATTGGAGAGTGGGAGGTGAAGAAACAGACTCAAAGTTCCGTGTACAGATCGCCTTCTGCACCCCCTTCTTCTGCAGATACTCCATCAGCGGTAGCAGCCCCCTCTGCGGCACCATCTTCACCATCGCCTCGCGCTCCACATTACGGATGGACTCCATTGCTGCCTCCTGCATGTCGGGCGCCAGCGTGTAGACGTGGTCTAGTATATCAATCGTCTTCGCAATCCCGAGTGCGGCGCGCATCTTTGCGAACATCCATGTCTGCGGCTCACTGGATTCAGCAATATTAGTTTATCTAATTGATTATTTTTACATATACTTAGGCGCTCAGTAAAAGGTCGCCCCGTTTCAATGCCTGTTTTCACAACCTTTTACTGAACGCCCAAGTACAGCTACTTTAGTTACAGCACAAACATACCACAGAGTGCCGTCGACGTCGAAGACCACGCCGGCGAGTTTGGGCGCCGTGGAGCGCGCGCTGAGGGCCGGGTTTAGCGGGGCGAAGCGGTGGCGGAGCGGGGGGGTGGCCATGGTGGTGGTGAACCGTGGGAGGGTGCGGGAGATCATCGCGGGTGTGGTGAGGGGTGGGCCGGGGTTGGGATTGGATGGGATGCTGGACTGGGACTGTGCCCCCCACGTAACGTTGCAATTGGTGCCAAGAGGGGTTGACGTCGGTGGGTGGTCATGGGGGATCACTCGATTGATTACTAACGGGTATATGCCTTGGGATGGTGATAGTGGATATTACGGGTACGAGTGGTTGGCGGAGGAGAGATTGACAACCTATGTTGGAATACTACATGTGTAACTTCTCCCATCAGTGAGAGCCATATCTTTAGAAAAGGATTTATTGAGTTGTGGATCGTAGATTTTGGCTGACTAGTGGAGTCAGTGAAGTATAGCGAGCGTCAAAATATTACTGTAGCCAGTGAATCATAGAAGATCTGGCTACCGTTGTATATTGGTCAATCGCATTTAAACGGGTTTGATTTCCACGGCTTGTCTACAGACTCATAAGACGAGGTTTTGATATTGAGTGAATCTCCTAAGCAACCCCCAGCCTTCCTTCATTGGTGTGTATTCGATCCATTTTCTAAGCAAGCTCAATGTAATAAGCCTTTACATCTTCCTACAAAAAGTATCTTTCTTTCTCTCAGCATGTTCCCACGCGGTCTCTCTTTTACGGCTAGACTACTACTTACCAAGAAGAGCCCCCCGTGGAAAAAGAAAAAAGAAAAAAGAATTGATGACGCCTCGATGGGGATTTGAACCCCAGTCTCCTCTCTCACAGCAGTTTCACCTACAGGCTGACTTTTGAGAGACGTGCTAACCGACTGCACTACCGTGGCTTGGGGGGATTGCGTATACTATGTATTATAGACCTAACGTCCTCGAGTCCTCGGGTAGTACCACTAGGGGGGCTCACAGAGGGCTAGCGCCGTGGATAATAGCACACGGGATCCGCGAAGATCTAATCCTTAGGGCGGAAATGTATCTAGGATTTGGGAAGATCTGATCTCGATGCAGTGTGTCACTTCTCATCATGATGGACTATCGTGCGACAAATATCTGCGAGTGATATACTATGAAGTACCTATAACGAAACAGAACAAGACTGAGCTGGCGACTATCTCGTCCGGCTTGTGCTTGTAGAGCCAAGTTGTTGGAAGTATTGAGGCATTTCCGTAGCCTCGTGGCCTCGCCCACATAATAGTATTCGAGGTCACTCAGCTCTATGTAATACGAAACCTAACCCTGCCAACTGCTACCTATACATACAACCCCCACATACACAACCTATATGGGCCAGGCAGCTTCGATAGAGAAGCCTTACATCGAGGGACAGATCTCGTGTCCACCGCGGAATGACTTTCCCTGTGCATTACTAGATGGTTGGGTAAGGTAGCCTCTTACACCCGCGGGGCTGCGATGCAATATGGGCGCCCTGCGATGGGCGTGGAGGCCTACCTGCAGAAGAAGGCGACGTCAAGGCATCTCAGTTACTATGATCGTGGTTCGATCAGCACGAGTCGGGGACTGGATTTACTCTGTGTCGATTGCAATTGGGTGTGTTGAACTTCCAATGGTGTTGCATGGCTAGGGTTTGGGAGCGAGGGTTAAGGCGGCCAATTTGGACCGAGGACCCCGAGAGCCGATACTTGACTTTTCCAAATAAACCGTTATGGCGGCAGTATCCTACATGGAGCCAGCTCCTGTTCACTATGTGGAAAGAAGAGAGGAAAGGGAAAGATGGAAAGTGGAAAGGGAAAGGGGAGATGAGATATCAAACAAAACTCCGTGTTTCGTATAAACATCCATCAAAATCAAAGCAGAGAACAAAAAAAAAACGAAAACAGAAATGGAAGAATATAGTAAACTCAGCTAATTGATTAACCAGCGAAAGTTCTTATTTCTAAATAAAAGAAACAGCAAAAAGGAAGGGAAGAAAATAATAAGAAAAAGGCAGTGGGAAAAAAAAGTAAACAATACATATATTAAAAAGAAAAGAGTAATGTAGTTTTTAAACTAACTACTCCCGCCACTATTATCAGTGTCCTTGAGCTTCATTTTCCCCAATGCCTCCTGGGCCTCAGCGCTGGAACCAGCCTCTCCCACCTCCCCATCATTGAGCGCCTCCTCGAAGCTCGGTGCCTCATCCCCATCCGGGGTAGGGGCCGCAGAGCTCCCCTCCCCAGAATCATCGCTACTCCCCCCTCGCACGACTCTCCCCGCCCGCGCGCTCTCCCTCGCTCCCTTCGCCAACCACGCCTTCTGGTAGTCCGACCTCTCCTCATCATTCATCTGTTCCCACCCCGCAATCTTAACTTTATCTACGGGGGAGTCCACCACATCCGACGTCCTCCTCCCAGTTACATTAGTGCTCCCCTCATCATACCCCGGGGCCTCCTCCTCCATCGGCTCGCCTTCCCCGGAAGACCCCGGGGTCGGTATCTGCTCCGCAGTGACCGGGCGCCAGGCCGGCGGCAGTGGAAGGCGGCACCAAGTGCACACACGCTGCTTCTCCGGGTTATCGTGGGGCTCGTCGCATCCGTCCGTTGCGCAGGTATACTTGTTCTCCAAGAGCTCTGCGCGCTCTGTGGAGCGGCAGTGGGAGCAGAGCCATCCGTCTTTTGCGACGCAGAGACAGAGCGGCGGGGCCGAGGTGTGCGGTGAGTTTGGCGGGTGGGAGAAGTTCGTTGCGGACCAACAGGAGTCGCAGAAGGTACGGATGCGGTTTAAGAATGTTCCGGAGGTGCCGTGGAAGTCGGATTTCACAATGCATGTCTGGGATAGGGGTTAGTGGGGTGACCCGGTGTGTTTGTGTTTGAGTGTGGGGGCCGGCAAATGAGCGGGGCGGGTGGGTGATTAGGCTTACCTCGCAGACGGGCATGGAGCAGATTACGCAGTTCTTGACATTTTCACCTTTGATGTGGGTGTTCTCGGAGCAGACGAGGGATGTCAGGGAGAGTAGTTCAGACCAGTATTCTGACGATTGTAGGAGCGTTTCACGGACTGTGCTGGATGTGCGAGAAAGCTGGATCACTGTGCACAATATATACCCGTCAGTACACATAAAAACTGGCTGGAAATAGTTGTGAAAAAGGAATCGTACAGTCACCCGTCGTTATAAAACTTGCAAAGCGCTTCACAATCGAAAACTGGCTGAGCATCATCGACAGCGGGTCGAAGGACGGGGGTGGTAAAGGATCATGATCCGAGTATGAGGGGGGTAGCATGATGTGGTATGTAGCTCTAGATGGTCCCTGGTGCTGGAGGGCAGTCAAGATGGCAGTCATGTAATGTTTGAATTTGCCGTATGTTTTGGTGGTTTATCTACTCCGTGCTGCCTGGAACTAATAGTCGGCCGAGTTATGGAATGGTGAGATGTTGGGGCGTTGGGGCCGGAGATGCTGCAGGTGAGCTGATGCGGCTGAAAAGGTGGGGTTGGGGTTGCAGAAATGCCAAGGCTGGGGTCCCCGTGGGGCAGTGAAATTTCGAGTGACGGAATCTGTGCTGGGAATTGAGTATTCGGAGATGCCTGTCTTTTTGGATGAAGCTTTATCCTTTGTGGCATTGAATAAACAGAGGTTGTGGTGTTTTGTGCTGAAAAGTCATTACCAAATCCTCGGTGTTTCAAAGTGTTTACCAGCACATGATGGATAAGACTTCTTTTCCGGCAACCACAATTCGATTCAGTGAAATTGCGTCTAACGTCCATAAGTGAATCCAGCAAACATGGATAGTGCAATCCTAATATAGCTCTTCTATCTGTATCCGCTCTAGTTCCATGCCCATTCACACTAGCAACTTCAAACCCCCGAGTGTTATTCATACTCCATCCACTCTTCAGCCCTTCTGACTCCTTCCAATATCTTCTCTAGTTTTCCTCTGACCTCTCCCACACTCTCATCCCCGTCCTCATCTTCAAAGTCAAAGTCCTCCTTCAGAAAATCTCTTGCAACCCTCTCAGCCTCCTCCAATTCCTTCGTTTCCCCGCCTGTTAATCTCCCACATGCAGCAACCAGATCCTCACCTCTTGCAGCCAAGAGGATCAGATCCTCGGCCCTCGCAACAATCGCCGGGTCAATCCCGTTGAGGGCCGCACAGCAAGTCCCAAAGCTACTAGTGCTTCGGCCGATCTCCATCCGGTATAGATATGTGATTTGATCTTCCGTGGCCTCTGCATCGTGGTCAAGAAGAACATGCATATGGGCAAACTGCAGACGTGGATGCTCAGTGAGGAAGCCGTTTTCAAATATCTCATGGTAATGGGTGGCTGCAAGAACTTTTGGCCTCTCATCACTGCGGTTTAAGAGGTGTTCAAATACCCCACATGCTAGCCCTGCACCGTCACTCGAGTCGGTGCCCTTGCCGAACTCGTCAATTATCAGAAGAGACCGACGTGTGGCTAGTCTAAGGCTTATTGCAATCTGCTGAAGGTCTATCATGAATGCACTTTGCACTTTTGAAACACTCTCCCGAGTTTGGATCCTGGTTAGGATTTTATCTGTCAGCCCTATCACTGCACTCTCGGCTGGAACAAAGGACCCAATGTGAGCCATATAGACTATAAGTGCAACCTGTTTCAGATAAATGCTCTTTCCAGAATAGTTGGGTCCAGTGATAAGCATCATACTTGGCACAGTCGGATCGTCCTCACCAAGCTGTACCGGCCTTACGTTCCTCGGTGGTGTAGCTGGATTGGCTTCGTTTGTGTCCGGAGTGGTTTCAGTATCTATACTCTCGGCCTCATCTGAACCTTTTCCTCCAAGCATATTACAATCGTTCTCCACATAGGATGACACGCAAAGTTCTTGGAGTGGGTGTCTGTTAATGTCAATGATAGTTCTTACGTCTTCTAGGAAAGTCAGAACTAGCGTACCGGCCCTTGGTGATCTTGATGACATTTTGATCAGTAACAATAGGCCGAGAGTATTTGTACTTCTCCGCCGCCAGAGCCAAGGCCAGAAGGCTAACCATCCTTAGTCCAATTTGATATCGTGAAAGGGGGATTGCAGGGCCATACCAATCAAGCTCAGCAAAGACCATAGCACAATCTGCGAGTATCTCATCATACTTCAGCACCCTCACCTGTAATTCATGCACTAGCTCAATTTCCCTATCTTCACAGCATCATCAGAAATCACTCGTTCAATGCCGCCCCACCAAAAGTACTCACCACAGATAAGCCCATACATATCCCCGAAGTATGCGTCCATCTCTCTCATTTGCGGATTCTTATAATACCAGCTCGTCCCTGTACAGAATTGGAACTCCCAGTCTTGGCCCATATACACTGGTCTCCCTGCCGCATCATCCTCTCCTCCATCATTGCTACTACCTTCAAGCGAGGGTACAACGATCAGATACCCCAATTGCGGGAAATAAATCACGTTCAAGTTGATAGCCACGTCAGCCGGGATGCCAGCTGCGACTTGACGCGCAACCTGCGAGAGCATGCTATCCATACCATCGTACATCTGCTTCATCCGGTCCAGCTCATCATCTACGTTCCTCATCACCACCACCCTGTGCTGCAGCGCACTTTCGTCAAAGTCAATTGTATCGTGGATCAGTTGTCCTACAGCCTGGATGGCTTTGACATCGACTGAATCCATTAGTTTCTTGTAGATGGCTAAGCCTCTGACTCCGCTCATCTCTTGTAAAGAGGACCTGATTCTTAGTGCATAAAACGAGAACTTGGCTAGAGAGATCCATTCACCTCCACGACCGCCACTACCCAAGCCTCTCCGCAGACCTGAGAGAACTTTCGGGATGTTTTTAATGTAGCGCAGTGACTTACCGAGCGTAACGAGGACATGGGAATTGGAAGGGTGGAGGAATGCAGTCAGGGTATCATGACGGGACGTCAGTGTGGAGAGCGATAGACTAGGGCGCAGAAACCACTGTTTGAGCATGACATGGCCAAGCGGAGAGCGAGTCCCGTTCATGATCCCAAACAGGGATAGACCCTCCTTTCCACGGCCTTTGGGGCCTTGCATATGGAAGTTCGGATGCGACTCATCCTCAAAGATCTGTAGCGAACATATAGTATCCGCATTCACAAACCTACTCCTCGTTAGCCACTTTCTCCCACCACCACTACACACACTTCCAGCTTGGCACATACATAACATCGGCCATACTCCACATCTCAATCTCCGCCACTAGCACTCCCCCCCCATCGCCCTCGCTAGGACCCCCGTCAATACTAGCCTTCCTCTGTAAGTATGTCAATACGGCGCCAGCACACCCTACAGTAACCTTGCTCTCCACATTGATCCATCCCGCAAGCCTGAGTAGATTCCCACGTCTCCGTGACTCTCCGGATATATCATACATATCCCCGGGAGTCTGGATTGTGATTGAAGGCCCGTTGGATTCCCCAATACGGATCGAGATGAGCTTGTTTCTGGCTGTATCGTACGAGAACTCGGTAGTAGGGCGTATGGAGACGTGGTAGGGTGTTGCGAACTCATCTAGGACACCAGTGAGCAAGAGATATAAGTATATATGCAGAGGTTTGTGGAGTTATGCACCTTTGGGGTTAGGATTAAGAGACTTATCAATTGTCTCATCAAATCTCGATGGCAGCAGCAGGACCGTAGGCTTGATATGAAACTTCACTACTCCCATGCAGTTACATCAGTAAGCCCAGCCAAACCTCGCTGCGGGAGCACTCACAAGCATCCAAGCAGTCCGAGGTAGGAAACTCGATATCCTCCATCAAGCTCAACCTCTGCTCTTCCATTGAGTAAAACGCACACCCTATCTTCCTCCCTCTATGGTCGACAGCCATGATAATACCCTCCGAATCATCCTCCTCCTCTGATACCTCATCATCATCATCTTCACCTTCAGTCTCCCTGCTGTACGGGTTTAGTTTGCGTGATTTTGAAGTTCCCGAAGTAGCAGTGAGGGAGCTTCGAGTGGTATGAGAGGAGGATTGTGAGGATAGGCGGAAGAGGGTTTCGGAGGCGAATGCTACAGACGCTGGACGAGTGCGTGGCATTGCTGAACGCTTTGATTAACAGGTACAAGAAGTCTCCTGGATGTGTCCAAAGTTATATTATGGTCCTCATCACTGCTGAATACTCATTACTATTACGTAAATCTGTACAATACCCGGAAGCTCAAAAGAGCACCGAGTGATAACATATGACGCCACCGAAATACTGGGCCGTTTCTAAAAGCCCTTAAACTTTTATTACCAAGCCCCAAATATATATCCGTACCCCATATCTGACGTTAAGGCAAAGAAGTTTCTTGGTGGTTCCCCTCCATGGTGCCAGCAAGGAGCGCTTCCAAAACCCACATAGCCTTGCCTAAGTATTGATACACAGAAGCGGCCAGCCCGTAGGGGACCACCGAGATAGCAAAAATCATGATTAAACAAGAAAAGGAAGATATATGCCGCCAAAAAAATTACAGGGCCTTGCTTAGGTCTTATATCTCTGCCAATTCCCTTTGGCACTCGACGGCATCGGTCTATACGCCTCTGTACGCCTGGGCGCTGGCTCTCTTGGCAATGGGGGTTGTGAATGCGATTCGTAACCCCTCCTTGGTTCGCGAGCTGCAGGGCGATTGTGAAATTCCGGTGGAGGCCCATACATATGGGCCCCACCTCTACCTCTACCTCCACCCCCACCACCGCCTCTACCCCCACCTCCTCCGTTTCCGCCTGGTCGACCACCATTCCTATTACGCGGTGGGCTTCGTGAGCGTGAGCGAGGTCTTGGAGGCAGTCCGTAGACCGGCCTGGGTGGCAAAGGTTCACGATATCTATCAAATACAGGGTCCCTGGCAGGGCTCCGCTGGCGGTATGATGCACCATTACCATCTCTCTGGGCGTTCCTCGACTTGTAAGAGTCCTTGCCCCTAGACGGCCCAGCAGGGGGTGCGCGCTTCGGGAATGGATCTTCCCTATCGAAATTTCGCATGTCTCTGAACGGGTCCAGTGCTGGTTTCATCGTCATTTTAGTCCCCGCTGCCCCAAATGTAGGATTTCCTTTAGCTGATCCAAGGGTTTCGAGTTTATCGGCGGATTCCAAGAGCCATTCCTGGGTCGCATAAGAATTTACATTGATTTCTGACAACGAGAAGGAGCCGCTAATTGGAGGTGGTGGGCACCGGGGACATTCATCACCATAATGGTCGCTTCCGGCACAGTAGTAGCAGTAAAGGGGAAGGGATTTCTTCGAAGCTTGGATTGGTTTGTGACGGTGAGCGGGGATACGGCGCCAATGCTGTTTCGGAAGATGATTAGCATAACGGTCTGTGTGGATGTGTTTCAGGATGCTTACGTCTATTACGCGTGGCTCTGCTTCTTCATTCTTCTCGATATCTGGGCAGGCGTGTGAAAAGTGCTTATTCCAGCTTCCACAATGTTTACACTATTCTCAGAATTACAATCAGTAGGAGTTCTTTGTTGTAATATCAATCAATAAGTGATAGGAAATTTACCTTTAGTTCCTGACAATTATCTTCCGAGTGCCCCGATTTGGTACAAACAGTACATATCCTTTTACTCTCCGAAAAAGCTACCACCATTACAGCGGCAAGCTCTCGTTCCTGTATCACATCTGCTGTAAAGTCTACACCTGAAGTTGAGTCGAAGTAAGGACGCGCCTCCTCAAGCCTAAACGGCGGCAGTATATATGCAGAATAGTACTTCCGCTGCCGCATGGCTACATCCTGATCAACGAGAGGAGATTCACCCCCGTCGTCATCTTCATTCTCGTCGAGCACAGCTATAACGTCCTTCTTTGCTAGGCTTTCTACAACTTCTCCTTCTTCATCGCTAATGTGGTTACTTTTAGCCTTTTCATCACCATCAATGTCAACCATGTCGAGATCAACGTGGATCTCCAGCCCTTCATCGTCATCATCGCCTAATGATGATGATGACGTGTCATCCTCATCCTTTCTGTCAGAAATGTTTTTAAACCCCCCGCCCTTGGGTAGTTCAATTTTTGCATTTCTTTCCGCCTCTGCCACTGACTTCTTCTTCTTCTTTGACCTTCGTTTCTTCTCCTTGGTCTTCCCGTTTGTTTTTGCGGAATCTTTCTCAAGCTCCTCGCTGGCGGCTGCTGTGTCAACATTAGAACCCTCTGGATTAGAAGCTGTCGCAACTGTAATTTCCACAGACCCAGGCTTTTGGGCATCTTCCCGCCCAGGAGTTCGTGCGCCATTGAGCCTTTTGTCATTCAAAGCGCGTCGAGTGGAAGAGTCCTTATCCTCATCCTCATTTTCGGACTCGTCATCTTTCAAAGCGTGAGCACCATTTGAGGGTATTCCAATGCTGACACCACCGTCCTCATCTGATGAATCGCCTCTGGAATTTAAGCTTGGAGATATCGGCTGTTTTGCCTTATCAGCTTCCTGTTTCGCATCATTTTCTCCTTCCTTGGATAATTTTCTGAGAGGCTTTCTCTTTCTCTTGTTCTTTTTCGCTGTCTTTTCCTCTACGCCACCTTCCTGGTCGTCTTCATCCTGTGTACTGTGACCATTCGTAGTTACTGGGGTGGTGTTTCCGGTATTCGAAGGTGTACGCTTGGAGCGCTTGGAGCCAAGGTATTCCGCCTCGACCGGTTCATCGTCAGCGCCATCTGAAAAATCCAGTGATATAAAATCAGCTGAAGACTCCATTGCCATTTTTGGGTCGGTGCGTTGGCGCTTGTGATTTGAGCCTCTTGAAGATGGTCTGGAGGAATTTTTAGGGGTCGTAGTTGCTGAATCGCGCTTTTCCTTGGAAACTGGCTTGGACGCTGCGCTGGCTCCCTCCATAACGAAGAGAGGAAAAGCGGGTAGCAAATGGACCTAGAGATGATTATGTCACGCGCGCGCAATCAAGAAAAAATTGTGTGCGATGCAAATATTCAATTTGCGGTGTGAAAGGGGCGATGCTGAGCTCGAGATCTATCAGCGAGACGTAGTTGAGGTAAGGTGATGTGAAATTTAAACGCGGGGAGGCGAACTTGTTACGGAGAGAACTCGGTTGTCGCGGAGAATAGGGCTATCTGTGCAGTTACCCGTCTTCTGGGAGAACGAGCCCACAGGAACACGGTTCAGAAGCGATAAAAGACGCTTCACTTTGCAAAGAGAGACGTTATCATCAAGAGGGAGATTGATACTCAGTCTTGGTGTGGATGATGTCGGGCCGGGTAAGAAGATGTGTATGTTTTTTCTTCTTCTTCCCTCCTTCCTCCAATTGGTTTGTTTTTGCTTTTTTTATATTTATATTTCTACAGTGCTGGTTGTGCATGGGTGGTGTCCCGAAATCCCGTCGCCTGGGCAGCAATTAATCAATTCCAATCGTTCTTTTCCCTCTTCTTTCCTTCCACAACTGCTAGCTAGCACAGCTACAGCTTTCTCTGGAGCTCAATCTCTTTAATTTGTGTGAGTAAAACCTAGAACCCATTGCACATGTCATACCTAGGTAAAGTTGTAGAGAGTGAATAAACCGTAAGGCAATATAATAGAGTAGACAGGTGTTGAAGAACTCATATCGTCGCGTCCTGCCTGACTCTTTGACCCAGGAAAAGGAGACAAATCTCGCGTGTCCTGGAATAACCCTAGCCTGAGAGTACCTACAGGCTACATAAGTTTTGATGCACGGCCGTTTCTATCGCCAAGGAGCACTTTAGGTAGGAACAATCTGGTGTCTGCTTCATCTCACGCATCATCCCTCCCAGTACCTACTGCGCTCATCAGCAATCATCGCCTGTTGCTCTTTCGAGGAAGTCGGACGGATCGTAGAGGGGCTTCTCGAACATAGACAGCTCCATACGTGCAGTAGGCACACGCATAACACTAGGCACTGCTTTGCTAAACGCATACACACTCGCTCACTTCTCCACATCCATCCACCCCCCCTTCCCTTGAAATTCCCCTCTAGAGTCCCTAGGTAGTACTTTTTTCTCTCGCTCTCGCTCTCTCCTTTAAAGTTTACAGAGGCGACTAGACCAAGCACGGATTCTTGCTCTTGTTATTCCCTGTTCCTATTCTCGGCTCACTTGTCCGTGTCGTTCCAGTCACTCGCTCACTCCTTATCTTCTGTCTCTCGTTTCTCTATCCTGGAGTAGACTCCCTTCTTCCTCTTCTTCCCTCACTCGCCCTCAAACTTCCTCTTGATCTCTTGCTTGTCTGCTCTCCTTTCTCCCTCTGGTTCAATTCACCTTTTCCACACGTATATCACACAGTAAAGACGTCTCCCTTGTATGTCTTGAACTCTATCGCTGTGTAGCTCCTATACTTGTCTACATACTCTCCTCGTAACTCACCTCCTCTGTGAATCCTGCCCGCGTGCACCTTACCGCTCTTGTCAGGCCAACCAGTCAACCCAACCCAAAACTTAACCTAACCCAACCCTACCTCACTCACACCCATCCCATCCGCCTCTCTCTCCCAAGCCTCAGCCTTGCTTTCAACCCGATTTATTCGATAACCAGTCGCCTTCCCCAGGCAACTACCCCCACAACCTTCAAAATTCATTCCCTCATCCTCCCCCGCACAACCCCCCCTTCCGGCGGCCCCATGGCGGACGCCAATCATGCTGGCCGAAGGCGCCGCTCCAGCTCCCTGATATACAAAGAGCCCCCAGAGACGATCGAGCAGCGCTCCGATCAGGCTGCATTGCCGAACTTGAACGCGAGCTGGGTCAACAGCAAAGGTGAGAATAATACTGATATTGAACGTGCCTTTGGTGGCTCGGAAGCTGACTATATGTGCTGGGGCTACTTAGGTGCTTGGGGAATTCACGTAGTGCTCATTATCGGGCTCAAGATATTCTACGATACAATGCCGGGAGTGTCTCAGGAGACTAGCTGGACACTAACGAACATTTCTTACATGTTTGTACGTCTCTACAAAATCAACCTACCCTTTGCTTTGCTCTACGGATAGGAGGCGGTGGGGGAGCTTTCATATATGGGGTTGAAATGCTGACGGAAATACTTTCGGGGGTGTAGGGCTCTTATCTCATGTTCCATTGGGTCCAGGGAATACCATTCGAGTTCAACGCAGGGGCTTATGACAACCTGAATATGTGGGAGCAGATCGACAACGGGGACCAATACACGCCTACCAAGAAGTTTCTCTTGACAGTTCCAGTAGTACTGTATGTTTCCCCAACTTATCAAGCTTATCTTGACTTTTTAAAAATACTCACTGACATTTTCCAAGGTTTCTTATGAGCACGCATTACACACATTACGACCTCACGTATTTCACAATCAACTGCCTCGCCGTGCTAGCCGTCGTTATTCCTAAACTACCTTCGGTACGTACCACCAGTAACTTTCTCTTGCTCGTTTTTTCGTGTGTAATTAGCCATATCTGTCCTTTCGTGTTTCGGCTATTTCCTGAACCCGTTCCCGGAAGCGATATCACGTGCTCCCTAACACGTGCCACCGAAATTGAAGCCCAGACTAAACCCACTTACGTATGCGTTACTAATTATACATCTTTAATGCAGAGCCATCGTATGAGAGTAGCTCTTTTTACTGTTCCAGAAGAGGAGTAGTGATAGGATAGCCGTTTTTCCCATTCAATATTATATTTTATCTTATGTCAACCCCAACGAAAGGACGATAACAGTATCAGAGCTGAGAACAGAGCTGAGAGTGAGAACGGGCGGTTTTGTGTTGTGTTTGTGTGCTGTGTGCTTTGTGTGTGTGTCTTCGTGTGTGTGTTTTTCTGGTTTAGTGAGAAGGGGCCTCGCTGAGCTGAATAAACAAAAAATAACCGGCGTTGTGATTTTTGATTTTTCTGTATTTTTTCTGTTTGCCTTTTGTTTCCCTTTCCTGCTGCTTCCATTGCACGTTTTATAAATCTACGTAATCTCCTTTTTGCTTGTTTCCTTTAATCTTTGTCTTGCTCTTTTTTTTTTTTTTTTTTAACCACACGCATGCCTCAGTTGTTGTTTGTTTCTAGTACTCTTGCAAGTCAGTGATTGATTTTTTTTGTGTTTGATCATGGCCATGCCCCGGTGTTCTCTATCATATCGACCATGCTCTAACTGAATATCTCGAACTTTTCCTTATTACTATCCATTACTCTGACGGTAATGTTACCTGCGAACAAACTATCACCACCTTACCTGCTTGCTTACTTGCCAGCTTATATGACATGACCCTTGTACTGAGCTTTGGTTAGTAGCTAGCAGACTTCTTTTCGATATACATATATTTTTTACTGTTTTCCTCCGCAATATATATATTATGGCCGAAGGTGGGAATCTCGTTAAATCTGAATAATATCCTCTCATGGAGTACTAATCCTCGAAACTGAAGTATGACTCGAGAAGAGTGTTGCGATGATATTCATATATGTTTGTAGACTGTGCTACCGGCATATCCCATATTGAGTGATTACAGATTCCTAGGCAGGAATTACATTAGTTAATAGAGCTAGAGAAGAGTAAGACCACTCAATACTCGTACCCTATACTACTCAGCATAATATAACATTATGGCCCATGCCCATTCCAGTAGGCGCTGTGTCACCACGGCGGGCAGTGTGAGAGGTGCGAACTTTACGCGCGCCGCTTCTCCCCTGTGGCGCTGGTGTTGCGGCTCCCCTCCGGGCTACCATGGAATCATTCTTGGCGGGGGGTGTTGTAAGGATTATTGAATCGAGGGCTAGAAGAGTAAGGGAAGACCAGGAGGACCAGGAAGACGCCAGAACCCATCCATCCCATCATCAACAAACGCGGCGCGCGAGTTTTTCTCTCTCCCTCCCTAAAGACGAGTTATTAAGGAAACAGCGCGATTGTTTTCCAACCCCCCCAGCACGAGTGCTGAAACTTTTGATACAACAATCTCTCCCGCCCCCGAAAAGTGTGCCTGTCCTGTTTGCGCAGTACGGACCCCTTTACACACAGACGCTGGAGGATAGCTTAGTTGCTTTTCTTTTCTTTTCCTTCTCTCCAAACGCGCGAGTCATCTTGACGAGACCGAGATCTGCTGCTTCCTTGCGCACAGTCCAGTCAGCTACCTAGCCAGCTCATCGCACATTACGCGGTTGTCGTCCGTCTTTATCCACGCCTTCGATCTTCCTCTTCCTCCTTGCTTCCTCATCCTCCCTTTGTCTCTCTTCTCACTCACTCACCAACGACCCCTTCTTCTTCTTCCAACTCCACCGCCTCCGCCGTCGCGAGAAGATTCAGAGAAATGAGCAGCATGGCAAAGATGAACGGAAATCACAACAACAACAACAGCCAGGGCCGGGCTGCTACAAATATCTGGCAGGTGATGAACTATCCAGTTCCTAGAGGGTATGTGCCTTTTCCTTCCTCCCCGACAGCGCTGGTTGTGGTTTGAGGAAGTCCTTGCTAACTAAGCTTGTGTGCTGCAGGAAATGTGTTAACAAAGTATGAAGCATCCACTGAGTGAGAGAGAGAGTGGTGGTGGTGGCGATAGTATCATGCGTGGGTTTGCTAACTGGTTGGTAATGATTTTCAGGCATCGATTGTGTCGCCGTGCTGCCCGTGCCTGCGCTTCATGCTCAACCCGCTCCAAGCCGCGTCGTCGTTCCTGTGTGACGGCTGCGGCCACCACGCGTCGTTCCATAACCTACGGAATCCGAGTGAGGAGGAGCCGGAGCTCGAGGTCGTGGAGGAGAGGAGGATCATGAATGGGAGCGGGAGCGTCAATGGGAGCCATAAAACGATCACGAACGGGAATGGAAGCGGGAGGAAGAGGCTTGCGGGCAGGATTTTGAGCAAGGATGATGAGGAGGAGGGTGAGAGCGAGAGGGATGGGCAGCTGGTTAAGAGGTCGAGGAAT